TTCTTTTTCCATTAGTATCATCCATCTGTAGTCACTGACAAGCTATCAGAACCATTCGAATAGCACCGCTGAATGAATTTTTTGTTCTTCGTTCGTTGAGTTCTATTGAGAGTCAAGATAAGCTGAGTAATCCTCTTTTATAGCTAATTTCTTGAAAAATATACAAATCCTGATCGAAAATATTCTACGTACTTGAATAATAAATTCTTTTTACATTTCAAACAGAATTGTTTGAGGTTTCTTTACTCAGAATGTAGACTAGCCAGCAGATTTCCAAGTACTACAAAACCTGCCTTACTCTAGTTGTAGTTATTTGGAATGTGATTTCAGGTTTTTACGTTAGATTTGTCACAAAATGGAATAAAAGACATGCCTAAAGAGTTCAACATGCCCAGAAACACGCTTAAATGAATATTCAAGTGTGTGTTCATATATCTCAGAAATGGAATTTCAATCAACAAGAACCTTGATTCCTCTAATTTCAGGAGTTCATCTTCAGGATAATTTATACGTCTTTCTATTTTCCATCGATAATAAAAGAGATGATTTTTCATTTACCAATGTTGATTTGGCTTGATCCTTTTAAATTATTATTGAATAGTATCTAAGGCATTCTTGATTGTTACGATAAAATACTATTATACTGTTAATATTCACAGAGTGTAGATTTCGGTATTATTTTTAATTTTTACAGTCAAGTTGTCAGTTAATATTAAAGTTGATGATAGATCTATTTATTCTTGTATTTGACTAAAATGTCACTACATTTCTATTTTCTTCATCCATGACACATACTAAATGCATTTTGTGAGCAATTTTTTTCTATTTATATGTTTAAATTCATCATCAGTATAAAAATAGTTTTTGACACAACGTCTTATATGTGTTCTGAGAGAGCTTAAAATTCTCTAAGATTCAATATATTTATCTGTTATATTGCATTGATTTGTTGAAAAATAATTTATATATAGTGAACGCAGGCGAGCATTGGAAAATATCAAAAGTCAACATTTTTATTGTTTTTTCAATTATTAATAATATACAAATAAAGTTTCGCAACAGTATTGAGTAATTCATAATAAATAGCCACTTTTGCATGTCATCTTTTCATCATCTAGTACGTTTGTTTAAAAAAATAAAAATATTCCATAAAAAATCTCTAGAATGTACAAATAAAAGGCTATTTAATGTGTACACATTGTGTTTGAAAAATAGTCGAAACTCTGTTCGACCAATTTTCGACGCTACAAGCATGATTACTTTTTGGTATGCTGCAAATTTCTTTTTTGTTATTTAAGTGATTAATGAATCATGGTTTTCAACTTAATCTCATTGTGTATTATTATCGATGGCGTCCTATAAATTAGAAGTATATGTTAGTCACCTATGTTTATATGTGAAATACGCGCAATACTCTGAGCACTAATATCAATGTTTTCTGATGTGTATGAAGTTATAGCGTTGTTATCTTGATAGATGAAATTGTTGAATAGTAGTCATTCGCCTTCAGATTGAGCATGTTAAAGAACAACTTCAAGATATTTCTCGTGTGATAATGTTTGACCAGATTCAAGTATAATTGGAGATGTGAGACCACTTTTTGGAAACATCTAATCACGCCATAAATCCTTTTGAATGTTTAATATTTTAATTTACATATTTCCTTGTCCATTTGCCTGGTGTCGACTAGTAGTATAAACACGTTCTGGTGAAGGGTATTTTTCATCAATGAATAGAATTTTCTTAGATTGATGATAGAAAAAAACAAATTGATCATTTGCTCAAAAAAATGATCTTGTTCGAATGGTTGAAATTTGGTTGAACAGAATTTCGTCTTTTTTTAAAACAAAATGTGCATACATTAAATAAGATTTTCTTTGTATATTCTAGAGTTTTTTTGTGGGATATTTTTGTTTTTTTAAAAAACATACTAAATGATGAAAAAACGACATGCAAAAAGCGGCTATTCATTATGAGTTGCTCGGTACTGTTGCAAAACTTTATTCCTATATAATTAATAATTGAAAAAACAATAAAAATGTTGACTTTTGATATTTTCTAATGCTTGACTGTGTTCACTATATATAAATTATTTTTCAACAAATCTATGCAATATAATAGATAAATAGATGGAATTTTAGAAAATTTCCACCTCTCTCAGAATATATAATAAGATTTTCTTTCGAAAGCTATTTCTATATTGATGATAAATTTAAAAATATAAATTGAAAAAACTTGGCCACAAAATGCAACCTGTGAGAATCTAATTATGAGAATTTTTTCGTGGCTTTTCCAATATGTTTTTTTTCAAGTAATCACAAGATAAAATATAAATATATAAGATGATAGTGAATTGAAAGCTCCTACGGAATAGATGTTTATTTTATATTAGAAAAGTGTATTCATAGTAACAATATCCTATACTACGTAATTGAATATCATTGAAGAAAAAAACAAAGTAACAATATGAAGACCATGAGAGTCTTGTCATGAGAGTAATTTCTTTATATTCAATTTATTTCGATAGCACATAAATGTAAACATATACAGGGCGACGAAAAATCACATTCTTATAAAAAGAAAGCAAGAGAAATAATTTTTAATAATAAGTTATAAAATCATTTGACATTCTCAATTTCCATGATTATTAAAGTTCTTGAAATAATACGAACGATCAGTTTCGAAGAAATGCACTAATGATTTGATTGTTTCAAAATAAGTTCAACAAATCATTGCAAGCGAACAACGAAAGATCTGCATAATGTAAAGTTTATAATACCAACAGAAATTCGAGTTAATAACGAAAGAAAAAATGGTTGTATTGTTTTTGATATTTAAAAAAAAAACATTCTAATTTTTTTATTCCTTTTGAAATAGAATTATAATCTATTGAACTGTTGTGAACAATAATATGTACCATTATATGAAACATTCAATTGTAATACGAAATCATGAAAAAGTAGCTAAAACGCTTCATTTGCGAAATACATAATGAAAAAACAAAGTATTTTCGTCTAACTATAGTAGAATATGTATTGTAACTCAAGAACATTCGATTTATTCGGGTCAAATTAAAAAACTTACTGAGAAACTAACTAATGAGAAAAGGTTTCTGACTATGTTCTCAAACTTCCTCATAAAAATTACATGAATTTGGCAATTGAAATAGTACGATTTCAGATCTGAAAACACTACTTGCTGAGGCTATTTACGAAAAAAATTATAGATAAAAGATTTTTTTACCTAATTACCATGTGTACACAACTGTGTACTAGCATATGAGATATTGTCATCTTCTTCATAGATGATAATTGAAGTAGTAATATAATCTATTTTGTACAAAGAATGTAGTTATATAAACTAACAGAGTCTTTACTTTCCCATCAAGAATGAATGCAAAAAAAACATGTAACTATTTGAAGTCTTGATGCTTATGCTTTACTATATGCTTTATGCTATGGTATCCTCTTTTACTTTAGAAAGAGCGTTCGATTTTGAACATGATATTGCCGTGTACAATGGAAGAATAGAACTTTTTTGATGTTTAAATTATAGAACACATCGATAATGACTGCAGCAAATAAAGGAAAAAAACACTGCACGCAAGCAGAACAAAAACCTTCGTCAAAGAAACAATACACATCCTATACATTTTCAAAATGGCGAGAATTTTTTTTGATAAGTATCCACCGGAATACTAAGAATAGTTGTTCATTCCAGTGTTCTTGCCTCCCATTAGGATGCCCGTCAGGTTTCGAATACTATCGGGTTGAATGTTCAAATCCACCTTCCACCTTCTTCTTTTAGTCCTCCAACTAGTCTCGACGGAGCCGACGGACAAAGCGGACTAGACTTGACTGGGTTCAAGGACATTCGAGACTAGTCCAAATGTGTTTAAAGGACATTTCTCCTAAAGGTGACTAGTCATAACAGGTGTGCCAGACGTTTCCGACTAGATTTGACGGGTATTGTGGACATTTTGGACTAGTCATGTTGGACGTCTTCCTTTATTTTTTGCTCACTTGGACCATATAGTTTTTTTTCCAGTGAAATAAATAAATTGTCTTGTGGAATTCAATAGTAAACTATGAGTTTAAATTCGAAGTTCAAACTACTTGAGAAATTATCTCTCTTAAACATTGATTTCATTTTCTTGTCAAATGATATGACAAAATGAATTCATTCAGAAAGAGTTCTTTTTCTTCGAATGTATTAATTATTTTGATTTTCATACTCTTCATTTCTTCTCTCATCTTTATTTTTTCTTAGAACCTCACTCTTATTTGAGTGTCACATTTGAACTTCATCATAAACTACAATAACAAACTTTTTTTAGCAATTACCATGAATAACAAGACAAGAAGGTCATTGCAAATTATCATATTTATATCCTTTCTCATAAATATAAGGTTATAAATCATTCTGTATCAGTCACAAAAAAATCGACCAAGTTGATCAAAATATGAAGACGATTTTTGATTTTATTCTATTTCAGTGAACAATTTTACATGCTGTACTCTTATCTGCTCTCTCTCTCTCTCTTTGTCGTTATCCAACAAAGATAATCTCGAAGTTTTCTTCATATAGCGATACTTTATTGATAATTACGAGGTATGTTCAGATTTCCGAAAAAGGAAATTACAGAAATTTCCGAAGCTTCCATCAACTCGATAACTACATAGCAGAGCACATGAAAATATTTTGGAAATATTAGAAATTTTAGAAGTTTTAGAAATTTCTGTAATTTCGGAAATTTCGTTACGTATAGAATTTTGGAAATTTCAGAAATTTCGGAAATTATATAATTTTGAGAAATACCAAACAATTTAGAACACAAGTGCTTGAAATTTCCGAAACTTCCAAAATTTCCTTTTTCAGAAGTCTGAACACTGCTGATAATTACAGAATGCAAATATATGAATATCTAGTATTTTCACTGAGAAAAAAGAAATTATTTATTATGAAAAACAAACTGAATTTGACAATAGAACTATCACATGTCAATACAATGTTGTAACAGTATTATTTGTTATAATTTTGACATCGCATACCTGAAATTCGCCCAAAGAAGAAATTCTACTTGCATTAAAAGCAATATATCTAAAAGAGTGAAAACCAGCATTGAATTGAGTAGAATTGAAGACAATCACATATTGTTGTTTATTTGATCTCGAGTTTTGACTTTTTATTGTAATTCCTTTCGATGATCGATAAGTAATCCACCATAAACCATCGAATGATAATTTTATATCGATATTCTTTTGTAGTTCCCATGTATGTCCAATGGTAAGGGAAAATGATAGATTTGTTCGAATATATAAAAAGTCTATAGCAAAAAATTCTCCTTGACGTACATTTCGTCCAGGATGCCAACAAGTTTTTGGATCGTCATCGACTGCTTTCAAGGTCGTATGCGATAAGAAAAAAGAAACTTTTGATCTTGTTGGTAGATTGTTTCGTGTACCTCTTTCATAATCTTTTGAAATATTGAATGGAATATGTTCAATATCAATTGGAACGATATTACTATAAAATATAAATTCATCTTTTGGACTTGATGATTTGACATAATATGGAAAATGACGATTTTGTCGACGTGAAAAGCCTATATGATTTGTATCATTCGATTGATTTTGACGTAGATTATCTTCTAGAATACGAATAGCTAAAACTGAACTTTCATATTGATATTGTAAGAATTTCGCTGTCGACGAAAATGATACACCAGTACTACTTGCAGGTAAATGACGAATATTCATATTGAATTGTGATGGAATATCATTGAGCCAAATAGAAAAAAATACATCACTAAAATAAATCAAACCTAGTCACAAAAATTATATTATTATATTTGATTTTTCCATAATTGTATTCACTTACTACGATGATTTTTCAAATAGATTTGTAAATATTGAAGATGTTGTTGAGCATGTTCACGTAAGAATATACTTCCACAACCAATCCATGAAAAACCAGTATGTAAATCGATTTTGTTATCGAAATAGGTCCACATCAAATTTGTATAGAATGTGTATGGATCAGTAACAGAATGCAAGACATAAGGATCAGTTCGAAAATCAGCTATAAGACTTTTCAGATAGAATGATGTATTCCAATCATCATCAGAATAGAAGCAAGCAATAGTTTTTGCTTCAGCACATGCACGATATTTAGCTTCATCTTTGAGATTCTCTTTTGAATTGATTATACGAATAGAATCTAAGGAATGATTATTTTTTTTAAATATAGTTTTTTCAAGATTTATATTTGGATTATTATTCCAAATGATAATTTCTTTGAAAAGATTAGAATCAAGTAAATAATTTACGGCTTCTACAACATTTGCTGATCGTTGCCAATGAAGTAATATGGCAGCCAGATCATATTTTTGTTGAAGTTCGATCTCGCGTTGCTTGGATTGAAGGAATTCGAATTCACTGAAACCAATGTTGATATAATCTCCATAATTATATGGAGACTCCTCACTCATAGATCTATTTGGAACACTGGTTGGATTTTGGTTGGCATTTGGCATGAAATGACGCCGTCGAATAAAAAACAGTAGTAAAAGTAAGCAAATATAAACGATTGCATATTGTCTTCTCCTGTTCATAATATATTGATATATAAATGAGCATAGAATAGATATCTAAGATAAGAATAATCGTATGGTTAGCAATACCTTCTTTTTTCAAATCTTTATAAACTAAACGCGTATTTAAATAGAATCGACACAATAAGTTTGCTTAAGATTACATAGATCTGAATTAGAAGAATATTACTTATCTGATACATCACTTCACACCTACTTACTCTCTAGAACAAGATGGTGTCATGAAGAGCCATTTATGATTTTACCGAAGATGCTGAATTTTTTTAGGTTTCATTGGTTTATTAATAAACCATCAATGATTATAAATAATTTAAAGAATCATGTTAAGTAAAAAATGGTTTCATGTGTTTAAAAGAGTTCTATCTCGCATCCTGGTTTTTGCTTACAAAGATGATTCTAGCGCGAATCACTTGAACTAAGACGTGCCATTTTTGAAACACAACTTAATTAACGTAAATCAATAACAGCTTTACTTATCGAATAGTCGTAAAAAAGCAGCAGGAGAGAGTTGGAGTGTGACAGTTTGGTAAAAGTTCCGATCTTACGAAGTGTTCGAACAGTTTGGCTTCTGTCACAGCACTGATCGCACCGAGATCAATAAGATACTTTCAGGTATTTTAGCTCTTTTGAGATGTGATCCCTATAACTTTGAGAGACTATCTTAGGTGATCCTTGTAATTTTTTTGGAAGTATCTAGGGAGGAAGTTATGGGCACGCTACTAAGTAACTGATAACGGACTGTTGCCAGTTACCCGACAACAGGATAATGGAAAATTTGTGTATTTTATTTTTTCATCAGGAATTACTGTTGAAGGAAATGCATGATTTTGTATAAAGTTTGGCCAAAATTTTTCGATATGGAGGAATCTGAATCTATAATCAAGCTCATGAAATTGTGTACTTGATTTTTCAGTCAAGTTTTCTTCGAGTTTCCAAGGATTTTTGATCAAGTTTTATGAAAAATAAGTATTTTCATAAAAATATGTTTTTCCTAAGAAACTATCAAACGCAGAAATTTTAAGAAAACTTTTAGAATATTTGTCAGAAAAGTTAGTTTAATTTACCGACCATAGAAAATTACTATGAACTATTCCATGAAAAGTATTCTTGAAACTAATCGTGCAAATTCAAACGCGATCAATTTGTAAGACAGTTTCATTCAGATATCTTTGTATAGCTATTTTCGAATTTAAAGAAGTGAGAAAGAATATATGCTGAGATCATTATTTTCACGTCCACGATTTTTTTTGTAATTTTTAATATTATAAAAATTGTCAGGAGATCACTCGAAGTATCTTCTAAGATTTAGTTTTTCCTCATTTCAAAGTGAATTTTTTGCTTCCTATAGTACCGCCATAATTCGAAAATTTCCTCTAGAATATCTTCAGAGGTATCTCATTTATATGAAATTTTTCTCATTGATTACGAATATCATATTCAATACATGCTCATCTAGCTGATGAATTAGGCATATTTTCTAAATTGATCACCAAAGTGTTCAAAGTAGTTATAGACTAATGTTAATAATTTTATATCTCGTCTTATCCGTTCCGTTTTCCCCGTGATGAAACGCGATATATCAGATATTCCTCTATATCTTCCTTCATGACATGATTCATGGTTCTCCAACATCTCATTACAGAAACAAAAAAAAATGATTTATTTTGATTTTTTCCTTCGTCATTTGAGTATCCTCACATTTTATAATAATATTATGATGAAAATCGAATAACTTACTTTAATTAACTTTTCTTTTTTTTTCATATAATTATCTTGAGAGTTGTCGCACATTTTATGCAACAAAACCAATAACTTACTTTAGTTTTTCTTTTCCTCTAATACGTATGGCAATAATTTTCATGCATTTTAGAAGAAAATTTGAAGAAGTTACTTTTAGTTTACTTTTTTCTTTCTCCATTTAATTTTCCAGATTGCTGATGGTCACTTTAGCAGAGAAGTGGAACCGGAAAATTAACTTTACTTCTCGTTTCTTCATGTAGTTATTTCAATAACTGCTGACCATTCTACGGGAAAAATTGGATAGGTTACTTTACTTTCATTTTCTCTTTCTTCATTTAGTTTTCTCCGATCGTTACCAGAGAAGAATGAAATCGGGAAAAAATAACTTTACTTTTCTTGTCTTCATTTAGTTACTCCGATAATTGTCCAGCATGTTATTGAGAAAAATCGAATAAGTTAATGTAGTTCAATTTTCTTCTTGTTATAATCATAGTTGTTCAAGGTCTGATAAGAGAAATTAAATAACGCAGTTCAGTTTGCTTCTTTATTCTATATTTAGTTCTGCTCATAGTTGAGAATGAGTATTTAATGAGCAAATTGAAACAAGCTCATTTATATTTATTTTGTTTCTGTCATTCGCTTTCCAGATAGTTAATCAGTTTTTTTTTGTAGATGAAAATATGTTAATAAAATTTCTACTCTAATTTCCTTCGTGTTGATTCATTTCCGCTGATAGTCACGGAGCGTTTTATGACAGAAATGAAAGAAGATAATTTACTTTTTTCTTTTCTTTTCATTATTCAGTTGTTTTTATGTTTTTTTGCAACATACTGTGAGATAAGTAAAATGAAACGGTTCAGTTTCGTTGTGTTTTTTTTGCATGCAGTGTTATGTGTTACTGTGTTCGAGCAATGTCTGAGTGCTATGGAATTTTCAATCGTTTTGGTAATTTAAGGATCTTTTTGATTACTCTCTCGTAAACATTGTGTAGTTCATAAAATAAAGTGTAGTGTATAGCAAACCTTTTAAGGCATTCCCTGTCAAAAATATCAAGTTTTAAGATTTCTACATAGTCGAATAGCTCACATTTTCTACTTTCAGAATCACTGTTATTCTTAGTTATTACGATTGTTTCGAGAAGTTTTCGGACGGTTTTTTTTACGATTTTCAAGAGATTTTGTGAAAAATTCACAAGCAGAAAATCTTTGGTAAATTTTAGTTTCTGGATTCCTATGACTTTGCCAATAGGCTTCTAACTTGGAGAACATATCCCACATGTTCTAGCAAGTGCGCTTCATACATCCTCTCCATGTAATCCCTCATAAATCGCTCTACGAAGGGAAAAACACTGGATTTCCCAAGTTCAACTTTGTTTGCCATTTTTTGTCAAAACGAGTTTTTTTAGGCTGTGCGTCCCAGATTGCGCAGCCATTTTACATGCTAGAGAGCTTTTAAATTGAAGAGAAAGTTGTGCTTAACAACTTACTAGCTTCGTGTTTTTTATTTTTGACTTAATTTTTAAGAGAACTGAACCTTTTTTCTTAGGAATATCCCTATTTTTTCGAAGTTTTCAAGAAAAAACTGACACAAGAATTTAACAACGAAGAATTTAAAAATCGGGCTCTGTTACATTGTAGCAGCAAGTGTTGGCTACATTTTGACGCCAATCCGAAATCTGTATCATTAACTTTGGGAGAGAAATCTGAGACGCACGGAGACCTACTTTTGGGCTATTGATATAGAGATAACTCTGGAACAACCCAATATTTCGAGCTGAAATTTTTACTGTAAGTTCCCTAGACTCACATCCATATTTTCTGGAATTTTCAGCTAGATCAGTTATTCTGGGATACAAATCGATTTTTTACCGAAGGGCTTAAGGATTCATGAATATTATGAACCCTTTCACAGATGGTAATTGAAGCTTATAAACCTTTTCATATACTCTTTCTAAAGGATTTATGAAAGGATTTACGAAGATTTCTTAAACGGTAAAAAAGGGCTATTTATCTGTTGCACTAGCATAAACTCTTTAAAGGGTTATTATTCCAGGGATTTTTTTTACATTGTATTCTAGCCTGAGTGATTAATTGCATGTCACATACTTAAATACTCATGGAATCATCAAAATCTGCATAAAAAAGCAGCAAGCATAGTATTATGAAGAAAAGATTGTTGATCTTCTTTCTTTTATTTTTACTAAACCAAAAATATTCTCACACACACACGTACACAACAACTACACTATATCAGACCAATTAGAACAGAGAAAAAAGAGCAAATATATATGTCATTTCGAACATCCAAGGGGAGACGAAAGAGAAAAATGAATACAACAAAAAAAGAAGATAAAGTGATAGAAAGATATTACATTAAAGAAAAAGTATGATATCATATATCGAGAGAAAAGAGAAAGAGAAAGGTAAATGTCGATCAATATGAAATCAAAAAGATGCATTGTAAGAGCGGAGCCGCTAAGACATGGGATGCACATTGATTAGCTTCGGTCATCTAGGATACTGACATACACTCGTTTAAACAATCAAGCATGGCACTCATGCATGCAACTACAAGTAACCGAATGATGCGTACGGATGATTCAAAAGTCAGTTTACGGAAGAAAAAATTGAATATTTTCGCCATATTTTGATCAAATGAGCTGATTCTTTCAGTGCTAATGAATAAGCGTTCATAGGACATATTCGTAAGCGAAACACTGCTGTTCAGGTTTATCGTGGATTTCAATAAAGAACTGTAGCCTTTCATCAGTTATGAAAAAATTGTATAACTTTTTCCATGACAAGAGTAAACTATATTCAATTTTCTCTATTAATTCTGCACAGAATTGTCGTTTAGTCTTATATTTGTATGACAGATACATGTCTGATTATTAATTGTATTCTGAAAGTTTCGGCCATAGATATTAAAAATTGGTAGAGAAAACAGTAATATGATTTTTTTCATAACTCGTTTAAAATGTTTAATAAAATACGAATGAAAAGTTTAGCTTCAGAACACGCTTATAATTATCGGATTTTGATTGTTGAAAAACAGAAATATTGAATATCAATCATAATGGAAATATTTGTATCGAAAACGGTCAAAATATTTATTTTTCAAGCACTAGCACGATTATAAATTATTGCTTCAATCATTTCAGCAAAAATATTGTGAAAAAAACCGTGTCAAGTTTAGACCTTCGTGCGATTAACACGCACGTGAGAGAAAATTTGAGCGTAATAACGTTCAGAAAACTAACTTTTTGAATTTTGACATATGCAAAATATATGCGACTAAAAGAATTTATGCCGGTTCACGTTGAAAACTTAGATTTTCTGGTGTTTTCACGACTATTTTGTGCCAAATGCGCTTAAATGCTGGAAAATGAACGGTTTCATGTGTTTAAATGTGTTTTTCCAAAATTTTGTCTGTTTGAGTAGCCAGTAAATTACTTCCTAATGGCATAGAATGTGGGTGCGAGTGTGCACGTAGATGCAAAGAAGACATACATCGACATCCACCTCAACCGTTGCATGACTCAATACAACTTCGAATGAATTCTGCCAAAGTTCATTACAAAGTCTTACTAAAATCATAGTTGAATATCAAGCGACATCGTGAGATATACGCCCACAACAAGTTTTACCAATTAAAGATCGATTTCAAACTTTAAAGAAAAATGCTTCTACTCGATTCAACATGACGGACAACTTAAGTTATTATCCAATCTAACATTTCATGAGGTTAAATGACTGTTTTTTTATATTAGTAAATCAAATAATTTTTTGTTTTGTGAACAGAATCGTCTACGTATATCAAGATTGTTTAGGTAAAATAATAAATCTATCTGTTATTGGAAACCACGGATAGGAAAAGAAAGTTTGTATTAGAATCTTTCGATTAGTCTTTCTGATTTATCATAACAATAGGAATAATAAAGTAAGATAAACATTATTTATCAATAAAACATTTTCAAATAATATGCTATACAAGATACTTCCAATTGGTTTGTTTTTATAAAAGAAATATGTTTTTGATCATGTGTCTAAAAAATCGTAACAATTTTGTTGCACTTTTCGATTTGCTATCTATCATATACAAAAGTCATGCCTTCGGACAAAATAGACGGCTTTGTTTTTTTTTCATTAGTGAGAGTTACTCATAGAAATGGGGAAAAAAGTCATGATAGTATTGTTAAATAAGACTCGGTAATTTCCTTCAAGAGGATGTCGAATGTGTGTATTCGTAAAATTAGCTCAGTGTATGACATGTTTGATAAAATGAAATATATTTTAATATAAATGGAGTTATTTTTTCTGAAAGATTAAAATATTTTATATGATTTATTCATTTTGATTTTGTCAATAGTAAGAAACGAACTGAGAGTGCACATTTTCTGCAATTAAAGAGACAAAAAAAAATATGTGAAATTTTAAGTGTCAACCTAAAATGTATTTGCTCAAGATTAAAAACAGAATACCTTGTGAAAAAGTACATGAAATAGTATTCAGTTGAAATGGGGTATCAAAGAGTGGAACACACATGTGTCTTGTCGCTTAATGAGAAAAAGCATTTGCTTCAAAAAAAAAAGTATTGTTTTTTTTTGTATTCTCGATCGTTTGGAAAGATAAAGGCTTATACTATAGATTCAAATGAATGACTAATTCGAATATTTTCATGATAACAAAGTTTTAAACGGTCGGCATCAGACACCTTCTTAAATATTAAATATCAACAATAATGTCGTTATATTCAATACCGTTTACATTTATATTTCTATCATATTTATGCAATCTAGTCAATGCTGATGGAAATATAGGTGGATATATAGGTGGAGGTATTGGTGGTCTTGTAAGTAAATATATAAGTAAATAAATAAAACTTGAACTATTCTATTTATATTAGATAATAATAATTCTTGATATTATTGCTATTTTTGATGTTCTTGGAACTCCTCGTACTATTGTTGGAAAATTACTTTGGATTTTATTGATTATAATCTTTCCTATAGGTGGTATGTATTGTTGTTTTGTTTTTTTTGTAAATATTATATAAATTTTACAAATATTTTTTTTTCTTTCAGGTTTGATTATTTGGTTACTTTTTGGACGAAAAACAACTCCAGTTATTTGAGGAGAATGAGTTTTTTTTTTGTTTTTCTTTAGGTTTGTTGTTATATGATTAGGGATATTTATTGAAATTTTTTCAAATTTCTTTTCTATTATCTATAATATCACGTTTCATTTTATTTATAATAGTTGCCATTTGTTTCACACATAAATATAATACAATAAACAATTACAAAAAACAAAAAACAAAAAAAAAAAATAAATTCTTTTATCAAAAAGAAAACAATGTTTAATATCAGTATCATTTCTCGATTAATACCATTGTGTGTATATCTGTGAATTTATATTTTTATTGTTAGTTTGTCATGTCGATTTCATCGTCTATAAAAAGGCAAAGAAAAATTCGAATAATTATTAATAAATAAAATTCGTTTGTTGTTGTTTTTTTTTTTGAGATTCAAATTTTTAAAATCTATTTTAAGACAAACATAGAAAGTAGTCTTTGAAATTTTTGAGTAAATATGTTATACGTGTCACAATAATAGGATATTAAAAGATTTTAAGTATTATTTAAAATGATAGAATACCTTTATCATTATTGTTCGTATTTTTTTTCTTTTTATTACGTTTATTTCGTTTTTTCTTATTTGTTTTTATTTCAATTGTTGGTGTTGATGATAATATTTGATCATGTTGTTGTTGTTGTATATGATCTGATCGTTTTTTATTATTTGATAATTTTTTAAGTGATGCAAGTAAACGAAATTTATCTGGATTACGTTGTTTTTCAACACGAAATTGTGTATAATCAAGAAAAGCTAATGCAAAACGACGACTTTTTATTGTAATTACATAATCATCACCATATAATAATGAATGTGGTGTATCATCTGTCTCTGTATTTGCACTAGCTTCTTCCATTTCAGTTAATGATGACATTAAATTTTTAGCTGCACTACGAAGATATTCCATATCACCTTGATCATCAATTGCTTCATCAAGAAATAAATCATCATTATCAAAATCCGATGGTAAATCATGAAAATCATCTTCACTTCCTGTTGTTTCATCTTCATCACTATTTACAACTTGTTCATTTTTTTTTTTCTTCAACAATTAATTGTTCTTGAGAATTTAATAATATTGTTTCTTGTTTTGGAGGAGAAGAAGAAGAACAAATTTTTTCTTTAATTGGTGATTTTAGTTCTACAGGAATTTCTAGAATTGATAGATATAGATGTTTGTTTTTTTTTTATTTTGAAGTTAGTTACAACAAACCTATTTGTTGATTAATAGGTGGAGGTGGTAAAATAGGTGTTGATGGTTGAGGTATAGAAGATAGATTAATATTTTTTGTAGGAGATACTGATTCATTTTTCATAGTCTCATTTAATGGAGAAATAGTCTGTGTGACAGCTGGTTTTTGTTGAAGTTCCATTTGTCGTCGTTGCAAATAATCATTCAAATGATGTTCTGAATATATGTCAATATAAATTGGTATCACTCGTATAAAATTATCAAATGTTCTATTAATTGATTGTGCAAGATCTAAATTCAGAATTTAAGAACAAAAACAAAGAGAGAGTTCGAATAAACTTCGATTGTTTTTTCTTATCATATGGATTCAACTAAAATTTCATCGAATAGAAACTTCATACTTAAGGCCACCCCCCCCCCCCCCTCAAATATCGCTCTCAGCCCAGGAACATTCAAATGACATGAAAATTTCAGGATATATTGGGGCTGGTGAGACATGGCTATGGTCAAATTTTCAGCCCTATAGCATGATGTTTAACCGAGATATGCACCAAACGAGGGGCAAAAATAGCTCTTTAGTATCTCCAAGTTTTCTATGCGGGTCTTCGTTCTAGACATTTAATGTTTTTTTGTTTGAAAGAGCGTGCCAGAATGCAGCGACTCTTGTGGCTCTTTTTTTAAAGCCTTACGTTTAGGGGAAAAAACCGGAGCGAAAGTTCAATATCTCAAAAAACCTCTCTAAAAATCGCGCTGCTCCGATAGAGATGTTATCTTCTGTGATAATAAAAAAGCTTATTTTAAAAAAAGGGCCACGAGAGTCGCTAGCTTTGCACATAAGCTTTCAAACAAAAAAAAATATTTGGCTTTATCTCTTACTGTGATGGAGTTCTGCTGGAGATACGTCGTTGAACCCACGTTCTGAGAAAAACGAAAAATGATTTTTGGTTTTTTTGTAAAAACCGGTTATTTTTCGAATAGGGGGGTGATAAAAATCTTCCAGAATTTTCGGAAAAAAAACGATGTTGAGTAAAACCTTGTGTCATTTATGAAAGAGCATTTGACGAGCTATATCTCCATGAGGTCATCTCAATTTCGACGAAAAGTGACTTTTTTGAGGGGAGGGGAGGGGGTGGCCTTAATTTATCATTGTATTTTGTAATACATGATCCAAAAAAGGAGTGTTGAAGTATATATGGAGGTAGAAAATTGCATCTCTCACATAACGTGATAGATATTGTTGATATACAATCAAAGATCATATATGAACTACTCCTTGATTCTATTTCTAGAAGATTAATAGTTTTTGTTGTCAAGCAACAAATGAATGATGTACATTATTTTAGTTACTATTCTAGATTCGATGATGCAAATGACTAACCTATGATTCCAGGATGATCATTTCGACTATAAAACAGTGTATTACTGCATTAAATTGTACGATATTTCAATGTAAATCTGCCATCCTATTTTTTTTTTCGATAGAAAACTACTATCGTTTTTTTGGAATGAAGGATTACGGTACTGTTTCCTTGGACTACGGATGTAAAATTAATTGTTGAAATGTTCAGACATGGTTCCTTAGTCAAGAATATCGTGGAGAGTAATTTCGGTTTTTGTTTTTTTTTAAGGAATATGTCCTAAACTTTCGAAAACTAGTAAAATATGTTTGCTAATTCTATGAAGGTGTAGAAAAGAAAAAGAAAAGGAAGATGATTAAGAAAAACTAGCTAGAATAAACTATGGTACATTGCTAGAAGTGACTCTTTATCTTTACCGGATAACATAAAGTAAGATAGCACAGCTTTCTAGCGATCAAAATTGGCGGAGAAATTTCGAACGCACGGAAACATCAAAATCAAAAATCCTGTTGTGAGAAATAAGTTTTAAGATTTTTTCTTTCATAGACTAATTTAAAAAGAATCTTCGAGTAATTTGTCATAGATTAACAAATCAAATGAATGTATATAAAAATGTACAAGAGAATATCTTTTTCATATGAAAATACCTTACATTCACCGACATATCAACAAAAGTTACCTGTTTAAGAAAAAAACAAAATTTTCTATAAATTTATCTAAATCAACATACATTATGTAGAAGAAGTATTTTCAAATGATTTAAAATATTTCATAATATGTTTTTTTACTCATCATGACTCAGAATATGACAAAGAGAAGTTTATCAAAAATAAACAATGACTCATAGTCTATTCTACATTGATGGAATAATAGTCAAAAATCTCTTTGACTATTTGCTTTGTCAATGAAGACGTAGTTATGACTTTCATTTCATTCTATGATTTTGTTTTTTCCTTTTTTTTTTACGCTCGAATGTTGTATTCACTTATCATACTTAGCAATATATGATAGACATGCTCACATCACTGCGTTATTTTCTTCTGTATGTGAGTTCCGAAAAAAACCTATGTAATATCCTTAAATCTAATTGTAAAATCAATAAACTATAGTATATTTGAGAATAGACACTTTGATCTATCTAAACAAGCTATAAATTATAAATTTGATTTTTTCTGAATGATGAATTCTTAATTTGGAATGCTGTAACTTACCATCATGAGAATAGAAATGTACAAAAGAACAATAAGAATAAGTTTTAATATGAAAAATTTTTTTCTTATCAAATAATTTAATAATATCATCTTCAGAATATTCTTGATCATATTCAATTAATAATGTTTCTGGATAATATAATTGAATACAATTAATTATTAATCCATTACATTCTGGATGATTTCGAACATTTAAAGAAATCTTTGAAAAATCTTCAAAAAATAAAAAACAAAAAAAAATTATTTTTCTTTGTTTTTTCATATTTTCTTTTTTACCAATATCTTCATTATATTCAACAATAATTATTTGTTTATCATTTTGATAATATTCAATATTATTTTTCATATAAGGCATTGAAACAGTATCAATATATGATATAATATGATTTGTTTCAATAGGTATATTTGAAAAACATATATGACGTTTATCAATTCTTCGTTGTAGAAGACGTGATGTAAAACTAAATGATTGAAATGTTATTGATCCATGAAGAGCAACTCGTTCAGCAACTAAAATATACATGAAAGAATTATCTTATTTGATCAAAATTAGTTTGTTTTTTTACTATCTAAATTTTGATAAAATACTTGTGCAACACCTAAATGTTGATAGATTTTATGTGTTTGTATTGGACCTCCGTCTGACTTGATTTGATTACTAAAAATTACTTCGATAAAATGAGTTTGAATATTTTTTGGTGGTTTCCAACATATTTGAAGACCTTTTTCAGCTAAAATAAATCAATCAAATTTATTTTAATTGTTATAAACGTGAATATGTATTCAGAATAAGTCAATACAAAGAGAGCGTACTCTCATATTGTGCCAAACAGGAGATCTTACAATAGAGGTGTTTATGTTGATAATTAGAAAACTGAGACGTATTCGGGTCAAATGAAAGCTCTTACTGCCAAATTAACAAGTTTTAAATATTAGCGGCTGTTGGCTGGGTTACAGGAAGATATTCGATCACAATTTAGGTACATAGAAACATTAGGATTACTTCCATTACAATCAACTGAGTAATTCAATAGTAGACTACAAGAATCTTTCGGAAATTTATCAATAGTTTTGATATCTTTCTGAAATTTAGATAGTATCGAAATGAAAAAATAATATATGATGTATGTGAAAAACGACTTGTACGTATAGTATTTGAATTTACAGTACATTGATGCATCACTTGGTGGTATATTGACCAGTTTTTTGCAATTGGTGTTTAAGAAATCATAAATATACATTATCGAAGAATTAATCTCTTTTATTCTCTATTAAATCAACTGATTAACCATCAAGTTCAAAGATGCATTTATTGAACATCTTCTCGAACTGAATACGATACTACTTAAGTTCCAGAAGACATCGAAACTATTGATAAATTTCAGAAAGATTCTTGTAGTTTACTATTGAGTTACTCAGCTGGTTGCAATGGAAGTAATCCTAATGTTCCTATACACCCAACTTGTGATCGAATATCTCCCTCTAACCGGACCAACAGCCGCTAATATTTTAAACTTGTTAATTTGACAGTGAGAGTTTTCATTTGCTCCGGATATGTCCCATCTTTCTAATTATTAATATAAATACCTTCATTCTAAGAGTCAATATACTACGTATTCAGGGATTAAACTTTGGATCGAAACTTCATTATTTGGTTTTTCTTAAAGTACCAAAAATGCGTTGAAAGTCCAGTAAACCGGACGTGAAGGACTCATGAGAACGAACTCTAACACTTTTGTTAGTCTCCTGGAAATTTCCTTCCGAGAGTCGAAATGATGAGTGTCAGTTGAGGGTAGATTTGAGAATCATTTTTTGACTGTCATATCTTTTCCAATCAATTTTAGCATTTTGAAATCCTGAAGATCAGAGTATGGATGAACTGATGACACACACCGACATCCCATATGCATAAGAGATTGATTGGAACAATGAAAAATAAAACAGAAAGAGACGTAAAAGTATGACTCATACACCAGTACCGCTCATTTGGACCATTCTAATGAAAGATTACTTTCAGTAGTAATATCTTTCTTTTCTATTAATTGATGAAAAAAAACTATATAGTTTAACAAAAAAAAACATACGAATTGAAGAAATTGTTTGTTGTTTTGGAAGAGTTCTTAAAGTAATAAGTAATCGATTATTTGTTTTCCACGATGAATTTCCATTTATTTGTGAATTTGGTATCATTCGCCAATTATTTGTCATAGATGATGATGGTGTTGGGTTATTAATTAAAGATGAATGGATAATTGGTTGTTGTTGTTGTTGTTGTACTTTCGATGAATTATGATATACTAAATGTTTCTAAATAAATAAAATTTAAATTGATAAAAGAAAAACTTTTTTTGTATTACTTTAGATTGACAATAAACTCGAAAAGCTTTAGTTAATAGATCTAAATCAAGATTAATTAATGATCCAAGTATAGTTTTATGATATTTTTCTGTTAATATATGTGGATATAGACAATTAATTGAATAACGACATGAATTTGTATAAAAATAATCATAACATAGATGAAGATTTGTACATAATATATCATTATTTTGACAAATACCATCAATAAATTTATTTCGGCATATTTCAAACTATAAAATAATATAATAAAGACAAAAAAACAAAAACCATGAAAAAAAATTAATACAAACAGGCATAATAAATTCAATACGATTTTTATCTCGACTAATTTTAAATATTTCCATATAATTTTTAATACTAGCAAGAACATATTTAGGATTCGTACATAAATTTTGTTCAAGACAATAATTACATAGAAAAGGTACTTCGAATAGACATGTTTGTTTTTCAGTACATAATCGTAATATAGCATTAACAATATCAATATCCATATTGTTACTTAGCACCAAAAAAAGAAAAGGATCACATTAAAGTTTTGTATTTTACTCTTCCGTTCTGTTATTCAACACCAACCGACCGACCAGAGACAAGTGAATATTTATATGTTCTTAACCAATACGCTTTTGTCATTTAAAAATGTCGCTATTGAACAATGTGTACGTCATGTTTTTTTTTATTTAATTATGGGTTAACGTGACATCAAAAAAATAAAATAATAGAAATTAGTTTTCTTTAACGATGTAGTTTTTGAAGCTACCGAAAAATTAAATATTAGAATTTTATTGAGAATAATCATTTGAATAAATAATAACCGATGATCAGAACGTTTTTAGACAAGATATGTGTTCAGTTGAAAGCATTTCAGATGACTTAAATGCTGGAATTTTGTAATCGTTTCAAATACGGGCTTATAAGGAAACTTCATAGGCATCTATGAATTTTCGATCCAGCTACCCAAAAATTAAATAAAGGAATGTTAACCTAAGTTTTTGTCCATGGATAAGTCTGAGAATATCTTGAAAGTTTCATCCGAGAAGAATGTTCCTTTGTTGAAATATTAAATTTTCAAGCAAACGACCATTTTTTTTTTTGAAATTCGATATCTTAGCAAAAGAACATTCTATTCCGCTGAAACTTTTAGGATATTCCCAATGCCATCACACCAAAATTCCATTATTCGGTAGCTGGATCGAAACTTCACAAATATCGATGGAAACGAATTCTCTTAGAATTTTTTTAGTCTTACCGAGATCTTCTTATGAACTCAAGCGGCGAGCTTCTGCTCAGATAGTTAATGTTATGTCTATTATAGTTCAAGAGTAGTGAGAAACTTTTTGAACATGTTAACAATTGTCGAAGTCAATCTTTTTGAAGAGTGAACACTTCTCTACAAATTGTAATATTGAACGAACCTATAGCTTTTATCCAAGTGAAGCTACACAAGAACTTCTTTCAACGTAAAACGATTGTCGATTTTTTGAAAAATGAATGTTTAGGAAAAATGAAAATTGAGGTGCCTTGTCGAAAGACAAAAAGTGTCTTAAATAATGCATTTTATAGAGTAGCTTCTAATCTGCAAGTAATAAAGATCCGAACTTTTATTTTTGAGCAAAATTTCTAGGTCCATATTGGATAAGAGAAAATAATCGTCGGAAATACCCCCTCCCGCTCCCAGAATAAAAAGGTATGGCCTTCTATTATGGATTTTTCGGAAAATTCCTCCTATAGTTATGCTCAATTTTTGGTTACAGTTTTGGATTAAATTCAATAATAATCGAATTAAGTGTTTGCTTTTTTTCTGCTTTCTCTAAGGCATATGTTTCTTCAGGATGTATATCTCGACTATATGTAAAATAATAGGAATAGGAAAAATAGTAGTCACTCACTCATTCACACTCATTGGTCACTTTTTGCATTCTGTCACTGATGCACGTTATCCATTGGAGAAAATTCATATATCCATTTATCGTGTGACGCAACAGAACGAAAAAAGTGACTAGTGTGTGTGGATGAGTGAGTGACTGCTATTTTTTCCATCTATAATATATTCTATATGTATAAAATTGAAAGGCATAGCATTCTATTATGTCTAACGAATCAAACTTTCGGGGGTTGTCATGATTGTAATTCGATCAGAGAACTCAACAGAGAAAATCTACTTGAATTAATCAATGCCAGTTTTCATTTGTCAAAACGATTGTAGTTATCTATCTTTTATCGCTGATGAGAAGAACGGTCGTAGAATGCTTTTTTGACTGGTTATTAGTTCCGATAAAGTTTTTCAGTATAATCTTTCCTAAAAAATATAAATCCTATAAAAAAAAGTTGGGACACTCCGTAGTGTTTAGCGATATGCATTTTCAATAAAACGTAGTATCCCCGCACGATCCGATGTAGTGCTGAGAGCAGTCTGCTTTGATCTCACTAGAAGTAATGTTGTCTTTTGAAATAATTATTACTTATATGCAATAAGTTTTCAATAGGACTTTCAATCAATGCTTCTCTGATGAAGATGGGCGTAGATTTTCTATTTACCTTCACATCCATACCTTAAATGCGTGCTGCTGATAAGTAGTTTTTAATGAAAATGCATACCAAGCCTCGAAATCGGACCAATTTTTTATGACTCGGCCGAGGTCCGAAAGAAATATAGAAAGTGATGACCAAGGGAGAGGGGGTAGTGTGGAAAAGTTTCCCCCTATTCTCCTTCTGGAGTGAGCCAAATCTCAGAAAAGGTTACATCAAAAATGGATAAAATCATTGGGCCGAGCGGCCCGTTTCGAGGCCTGATACATACCGGGCTAAGCGCTATGAAATGTATCAAGTATCTGTAGAAATCAGGCTTTATTTATTTATTTATTTTTTTGAAGAAATACCATTAATCTTAGTCAAAGAATAATTAGAAGAAGTTTAATTGTTTACAGGTTTGCAGCTTATTGAAATTTCTACACAATATTTGGGAACCATCCTTGATTCGATTCTTTATTAGTTTTTATAACTGAGTGAGAAATTACACAAAACAGAAAGTGAAAGATTAATGTTATTTTGTTATACAACTGATAATTTTAATGGAACAAAGATTGTTACGATTAAAATTTTATTTTCTTGTTTATTAAATATAAAACAGCAAGACAAAGAAAAATATCACATTCATTTTTGAAAATTAACGCTATAAGAACCAGTCGATGGATCTTGTTGAAGTTTGAAATTATTTGTAGATAGACCAAATGGTTTTAATACCATATTTCCCAATTCTTTTAATTTACCTTAGAAAAAAAAACAACGATTAATTTTTTGTAAATAAAAAAAGAAAAGAGTTCTATATATAACATACCTAACATTTCATCTTTTAATTTTTCATTACGTTCTTTTATTTGATCGGGTAAAATCTAAAAATAAAAAGAATTATTAAACAAAGACAAAAAACAAAAATCAAACATCCTTACATAGACTTCTTTTCGTGCTTGTGCACTATTTGGATCAAGTTCAAGAATTTTCTGATAATCTTGTAATGCTTCTTCTAATTTATCAATAGATTTATAAGATTCAGCACGACGTACAAAAGCTTTTATATAATTTGGATCATATTTAATCGATTGTGTACAAGATTGAACAGCAGATTCATATTTTTCCTATGAATTAACAAAAAGCAAAAAAAAGAAGATTCTTTTTTTCTATTTAAAGTTTTTTTTTTAAATATTTTTGATTATACCATCTTCATTAAACATGCTGCACGATTTGCATAGATAACAGCACGATCACGAGTATATTTCATTGGACAAAATGATAATGCATGACTGTATTGTTCTAATGCTTGATCATATTCACCACGACCGAATAAATTATTACCTTCTTCTTTTGATGTTTGCGATTCTTTATGACGTTTCTATGATTAAATGTGAATAATCTGTTAGGAAGAAATCGATTTATTTTATGAAAGAATATTCTTAAGTAGGAAAAGAATTTTCATATTATTGTTCTACTATAATTTAATACCAGTAAAAGTTTAGAATTCTCTTTTCAACTATTTTAGCAATGTGTCATAGTAAGAAAAAATGAAATTACTTCTTTATCTTCTTCTGTTAAAAGTGTTTCACGTTCAGCAAGTAATTCTTCATCGATAAAGTATGGATCTTCTGAAAGTAAGAAAAAAACAAAAAAATTATCACAAAAAATCTAATAGAAATTTTATTCTAACCTGGTGATTTTTTTTGTACTTGTTCATCTGTAGATAGTTGTGAATTAAGACGTTTATGTAAAAGTTCTGCTTCAGCATGACCTTCAGTGGAAGATGATGGATTTTTATGCAATTCAGTATCATGTGCATCAAAAAATTCATGATTATCTATATCATCATTTTCATCATCACTAGAATCAGCCCATTGATGTGGATTACGCATTGCTTCAGCTGCATGCCATTGTTCATATTCTTCATCTTCAGTTTTTATATTTGCAGTTGCCATCTAAAGTAGTGAAATAAAGCATATTAGAAAATATTTTTAATTTCTGTTCTTTCTCTGTGTGTTTTATTATTAAATGTATATAACATGAGACATCAATAAGCAAGAATGGTTGTGAAAACAAAAACAGGACATATATTACTCTTTTGTTGTGTTTTTTTTTCTTTTCTTTATAAATTAAATCACGCAAAATCCATAGATACACATCGACAACAAGAAAAAAAAAGAAAATCCAGTTTATTCTTTATGATTGTGGTAAATTAGCTGGTGGACATTTAAATACAAAATCCTTTGGAAATAATTCAGCAGCTTTTGGTAACATGATTTTATATATTAATCGTATTGTACTTTCCATAACACCAGCAGCAACTTGAATATCTAAAAGAAAAAAATATATATTTTTTGGTTTTTTTTTCTGTTTTTATTTTAAAATTATCTATTTACCTTTCATTGGTTTTTTCTCTCCAGCAGCTGCACAAGCCATATAAATTGATGCACCTGCAATTGAATCTGGTGCACGACTTTGAATATCGCAAATTTCTTTTGCACGTTCAGCAATATGAACAGCTGTTTTTTGAATAATATTTTCTTGATGAAGTTCAAGTTGATTACAAAATCGAGGCTTTTAATAAAGAAAAAAAAACAATCTATAGAAGAAGATATTATTTAAATTTAAAACATACCACCAAATTTTTAATATCAATTGATTCAGGTCGATTAGAATTCGGTAAACTATTAACAATTTGTTTAAAACATCGACCAATATCTTTTTTTGATGCAGTTGTTGAAATTGCACAAATTTCTTAAAATATAACAACAAAAATAAATTAATTCTAGATAAATACACAATATATCTCATGTATTTTACCTTTAATTGTACGTTGTGCACCTTCTTGTCGACAAGCTATATAAATACATGTTGCTACAATGGCATCTTGTGAACGACCTCGTACACATTTATTTTCATAACATTGTTTAAAAAGTGAAAATGCTCGATTAATTATTCGACTTGATAAATTAATACGTCCAGCCATTTGTCGAATAGCATCAAAACCACTTCGTAATGCTTTATCTGCAGTTGACATCTTAATAATAATAAAAAATATTTCCTTTAGTAGACAGATAAAAAACTGGATTAGTTACCTGACGAGGACCATTGTTATATTTTTGTTTACCAAATTCATCAAGTGCTCCTGCACCTGTTCCTAATGACATAACAGTTTCAAGATTATCACCATCGAATAATGGATTTTCTACAGCTCCAACACGACTCATATCTTTCGAATCTTTATCATTAGAAAATGTACGCCATTCAGAACCAACATCCACCATTCTAAAGAAAAATTTTAAATAATCATTATGCATCACAATACGAATAAAAAAAGGCAATCAATAACTAATATTTTATAGCTCTTATTCTCTGTTATTAGACTCTTGAAAGTCAAACATATTTGTAATGGCATAACTAGACGAGGGACTAGAGAAGACTCAGTGTCCTCTTACAAACAATTGAGTTTCTCTTAAGAAGATGCTGACGCATTACCAGAGAGTCTTCGCTTACTCTACAGACATGATCGGAATAGTTAAGTCCCTAACTCCCTCCCTATAAATTTTTTCCTGGTTACTCCACTAATTATCCGATCCGGGCACGAAAATCAAATTCCACAAAAATATTTTTTGAGCATTCAAAGTCTTACGTAGAACGATGCGATTGATCGAGTGTGACTTGGACCTGTGACAGCTCATAGTTCTAAGAACCTCTAAAAACGAATCTTTATTAATGTGCAATGGCTATTCATATATAATTGATCGAAAGATTCTTTGAAAATGTAAATACTCTAGACCTACAACCATCCACACTAGAGATGTGCGGAACCAAATTTTTTTGGTCCCAGTAACTTTTTTATTCACCAATTGTGGACGTAGTCCTAATCCCGGCAACGTCTTTTCTAATGACACCAGTCCCGAGGGTTCCAGTTTTTCAGATTCTGGCATTGGTCTAGAGATAACGAGTCAACAACTAGCACTTTTTGAATTGTCGCTCTTGAATTACGTTCTAATTCATACGATTTATAAGATAATTTGCTTTAAACCATAGAATATTTTACTATAAACTTGAATTTCGATCCGAGTGGTTAGTTCCGCACATCTCTAATCCACACCCTTTGCAAGTATGTCTAACGAGGAAAGGTGTCCCAGTGTGTGATGCGCCGTTCTGAATCGGATCTATATCAGTTACTAGAACTCGATGCGACTAGATGAAACCTAAAAGGATTCATCTCTATACGCTGTCCTTCTTGAGTTATGACCGTTTTACTGAATTTTAGACCTACAGCAAGATATATATGGGAAAATCGAATTACGAGATTTTGACCTGAAATTTTGCTCATAGATTCCTTGCGACGCATGATCGTTTTCTGGACACCGAATATCTGCAGAAGACAACATTCTGACAATTACGAGACTTGTTGCTGGGCACAATTTCACATCGAAATCCTGTAATTCGATTTTCCCATATATATACTTTACTAGATATTGAAAATTCAGTAAAAAACAGTCATAACTCGAGAAGGACAGCATATGAGCATGAACGCTTTGAAACTTTGTCTAGTCTTATCGAGCTCTACTAAATGGTATAGATCCGATTCAAAACGGCGCATCACATTTGGGAACCTTTCCTCGTAAGTGAGCAGCTGTCATAAAGAGTAAGTGCTCATGTGCAATCATCCTACGCTCACTTTAAGATTTATTACAAAATCTATACATCATAATTTCCCTAGTGAAAAATTAACGAACTCAATCATATCTTTCTCATTTTCCAACAACCTACCTGTTTGTTTGTATTCTGAAAATATGCTAATAAATCTCTGCGAAGATTAAGCATGTGTTTGACTAAATTCTAGTACCATTCAATTTTAATTTTGAAATTCCATACTTCTCTAATAAAGATCTATCGTGTTACTATAATTTATAAATATGAATTCTCTCTATATATATATATTTCATACCGATCGCCAACAACTAAACCACATTCTGGGCAAACCATATCACCAGCACGATAATCTTCAACTAATGTTGCTTCTGGATGAAATCGACATGCCAATTGTTTAACGTATCTAATCAAAAAATACAAAATAATAATAATAATAATAATAAAATCAATCAAATTATTTTTCATACCTTGACATTTTTGTTTTTGACTATTACTACCTGTATTAATATATCATCTTATATATATATATATATCTAGAATATAAAAGAAATAATTAAACAAAAAAAAAAAAAAAAAAAAAAAAAAACAAGATGTTCCATCATGTCAATCTTTATATTTTTTCTTCATTATCATCATCGAAAAGAGTTATTCATGTTTTTTTTTTCTTGCAAAATGTACAAAAAAAAACCAAACAAACAAACAACCAAAATACTGACTTTTTTTTTCTTCTAACAATTTGAAACACAATTTGAAAAGATCAACGATCAAGAATGACAAAGACGGATAATATGTATATATATATATATATATATAGGTTTTAGTGAGAATAGATAAGCGCAAAAGAACATAATCAACAAAAAAAAAAAGAAAAAAAAGATAATGAAATAAGGAATGAATAAAATCAAACCAACATACATATTTCATAAATAGACATACCTTAGCCGGCTAGTCTACACACAAAAGAGAGAAAAAAAAGAAACAAATAAGACTTATCACACAATATATGTGCAGTTAGAACATGAGTCTTTTTTTTTCCATTATTATTCAGATTATATCACAGGATTGACCACCAGGTTGGTTTCTTTTTATTTTTAGTTTTTGAAATAAGGTGCTAATCCAAATTCTTATCATGATTTTTCTAAGAGAATATATTTCGATTATTATTATTATTATTATTATTATTATTATTATTATTATTATTATTTCGACTTTGATAATAATCTCGACGATTATTATTTGGTGGACCTCGTCGAAAATTATGTTCTCTACTGTTCTCACGAGAAGATGAAATTTGATGTTCATTATTATTATTATTATTATTATTATGATTAATATTGTTATTATGATTATTATGGTTTGTTAGATTCGGTCGTGTTTGATGGCCAATAGCAGAAACAAAACGAACAGATGGTGGTTTAGAATTCACTGATGATGATGATGATGATGATGGAACTGAATTAACTATTGGATTAGATAGATTTGGTGGTGGTGTTGTAAACGTAGCCGGTGATGTTTGAAAAAGAGAAGGATCTAAATAATAAAAATAATAAGACAAATATTTGTTTCAATTTCGTAGACTATTTTTTGCTTACTAGCAGTTGGTGGTGGTGGTATACCAAGTGTCAGAGCATTTGCTATCAATTGACCCAATGGAAAAGATGTTGGAGGTGGAGGTAAATTAAAATTTAATGGAAGATTTGGCAAAATATTAGCTATTGTATTCGGCGACGGAACTAGAAAAAAAAAATTTTTTGTGAAAAATGATTTAATTTAGTACAGAATTATAGATTGATCTTTAAATTACGAAAGAAATCTCTTCAATGAGATTCGTTGATTATGCAACTAATACTTCCTTTCTTGAGATGTCAATATATAATATCTCAGAATAGAAAATATGAGAAAAATTACAATTTCATCCATTGAACAAATCTCATTGAGAATTTTGTTTCATGCAAAGTTGACAGTCGATTATTCAAGTGATCACAATTTTTTTTTGTTGAAAAATAAATCAGTAAAATTTTGATATCTCAAGAACAAAAGTCCAACAAACAAAACCATTCTACAGGGTGGATCAGAAGTCACCGGGCAGTGTTTTATTTCGAATAGCTTTTGATAGGATCAAGATAAAAAGCTGCGCCTTTCACCATTCAAAAGAGGCTCTGTTACTACATAGTTCCATTTACTGCTTGTTACCATGGTAATAAGTCAGTGGTCTTCGGTAAAATACTGCCAGCTCTATGAAAATTATATCGAAGTTCAATTCTAAAGGGTACGTTAGGATCACGCTCATCATTATCGCTGTTGCATTTAAAACTCTCTATCGGAAGAAGATAATAGGTTTGGTTGTTGACGTTAGCGTAAATCGTGGGTACACGAATCGAACCTCTATATCTTTATTCATAGAGTTATCAAAATCTTGCTAAAGATCACTATCAATAATCTATATTGTTGAATAATACATAGAACTTCGTAGTACCAGACGCTGTTTTGAATGGTAAAAATCACAACCTTTTATCTTGATTCTATCAAAAGTTATTCGAAATTCAAGACTGCTCGATGATTTTTGATCCACCCTGTATTACTCATCAATAGAATAAACGGAAATGCAACTATTGTTAGAAATTTCGAATGAGGAGAGCATAAGAAATGTTTTCGATTGATAAAATTATTACATAAATTATTATCTGTTTATTCATACTATATCAAGACTTAAAGGTAGATAAGTGTTTTTTGAACTAGAGGTATAAATCGTATTTCCAGCAGCTGGCGCCGCTATTCGATCCTTTGGCTTACATCTCTAATTACAACAGATTGAGATAATTCCAAACTCTTCGTACTTAAGTTTGAGAGATCGCATAATTGTGAGGGTACTTTTGTACATGCAGCCAAATGTTGGAGTTCGACTCCAAAAATATCACGTAGAATCGACACCGTTAAATCATTAGATAGATGTGAAAATTTTAATTTCAGTTGTTAAGATTAATGATGGCGTATATTTCAATACTTAAAGAAAACAATATTATACTTATATACTCAGATCTTTCATCCCAACAATTGAATAATAGATTCATGAAATTTTGTATCTATTGAATTTAGTTTTCTTAGTATAAGTATCGGCCCAAACCGTGCAAAATTCTTTAATTGATTTAAACAAATATGATTTTGTCATATCAAAATTTCTACAATCAAATATATTATATTCTTACCATTAGGTGTTTCATTGTTAGTAGTTCGTGCAACATTAAGTAAAGCTGAAAGAAAATTTGGTGGTGCCGGAAGATTAGGTGTTGTTGTTGTTGAAATAGTTGGATTTGTTATTGTTGATGTTGTTGTTGTTATTGTTGTAGATAAATTAATTAATGAATTTGATGGTACTGTTGTTGTTGATAGATTATTTGCTGTAGCTGATGTTAAATTTCCTTTAGCCTGTGCAAGAATTTGAGCAACTTCAGGTGATACATCACCAAATGAAAATGGCGAAAGACTCGATGTAACTGTATTGTTTGTTATTGTTGTTGTTGTTGTTGTTGTTGGATTATTTATTGAAACTAAAGGTATATTGGTTGTTGTTGTTGCTATTGTTGTATTATTGCTGTTTACTGTACTCGATAAAGATGATGAAGTATCCTACATACATATACATAAATATTTTTTTTTTGTGTAAAGAATTTATTTTATAAAAACAAAAAACAAAATCAATATGATAATATTTTAATGATCGCGATAAATTATTTTTTATTTCTATATATATTCTTACATCTTCAAGTGGAATTAATTTTGGTTCACTATGATGATTATGTCCAATAAGATCACCATCTGGTTCACCTGGACTATCAGGTAAAAATGAACGTATAAAAAGTGCTTGTAAAACAGTTTTTTCACGTTCTTCTTGTACAAAACGTTCTTGTGAAACAATTTGTGGAATTTGTATTGTATCAGGTAATAAAATTTTTATTAATGGTGGTAATGGTAATAAAATTTGTTTATCATCATTATCAATTGAATTCATATCTTGTATACCACGTCTTTTACGAAAATCACGTTCCATAACTTTTTCTAATTGTGCTATTGATATATTTGTTGCACATGTACGTGAAAATATATGCATATCAGATAATTCTGAATCATCAACTTCAAAAAATGATGTTTGTACAAGTGTTTGATTTTTTTCATCAGCCCATATTACTTTTTTTTTGATTATTTTTTTAACACCTGGTTCACTTAAATTACTTTTTATAATTGTATCTTGAAAAACAAAAAAAGAAAATTTATAAAATTAAATTAATAAAAATTTTGTTTGTTGAATTTACTTATTTCATCAGGTTTTGGACTAATTACAGGTTGATTATCGGATATATTAAGTGAATCATCATCGATGGATGTAGGTGGTGATGTCTATGAAATAGATAAGATTGTAAATTATTTTTTTTGTATATCGAAATTAAATTACATGTCAATAGAAGATGAGAGAAAGTGAAAAACAAACAAATTATACACTCATTATTTTTTTTTTTATTAATCATACATTTTCTATTTCTAATTATCGAATACGAAATTAAACAAGTAGACTTTAAGATTTCTAATCAATTTTCAAATATCGATTCTTTCGATATATATTAAATATCTCATGATTGATTTTATCCACAATAATCGTCCAAAGTACTTGGTGAATGATAAATAGAGCGCGATTAACCTTCATACAATGAAGTCTAGAAGGTCAACATAGATTTGTTATTCACATGAGGATATTAAAACTCACTGTGATTGACCTTCACATTCGAGAATTCAATAGGAATTCGATAACTGATAAAAAATTTCATGATTATATCCATTCGTGGAGTGTGAAGACCATTACGAAACATGAAAATGTCACTACAACTTAAGAATCAAAACAGATTAGAATCTTCTATCTATGATACAGTAAACATAAAGGACATAACAAGACATAAACGCCGGTTAGAACAACAACGCTGTTTGTTTTTTTTTGCTAAATTCGATGTATTCAAGTCAATCAATTCTCGAATTGATATTTTCAATCAGAGATTTATTAAAGTTACTTTCTAAATATTGACTTTTTGTTTTTTATCTTTCTCACCTTTGAATTTCCCGTATTATTTATTCGCATATCAGTATCAGCTAAAGGAGTCTGTTGTAATTCATTCGATTTTAATTTTTTACGTTCAATATATTGGCTTAAAGAAAATTTTCTTTTTCCTTGTTGAGAATTAAGTTCATCACTCGATTGTCGATTTAATGATATATTCATTTTTGTTTGTTGATTTGTAGATGTAGGAGGTACTGGTATAGTTTCATTTATTTCTGATGGTGGTGATGGAACATTCGTATTTGACCTGAAATAAATTAAAAAAAAATAAAATGACATATATACACATAGAGTTTTAAAAAAATAAAATAAAATAAAACAGCATATATGTATATCGATCGACAAAGTCCGTCTCTGTATTCAGCACCATTGGTATCAACATATAGATATTGAATTCCTTGATCATTTTGTTTTAATTCATTTTATTTCGTCATATAATAATAATATATATATATTACATAAAAAAGAGAATCTATTCATTCATCTGACAAAAAAATTACCTACCGTTTTTGTTTTTCTTTTATAGGTTTTTTTTTCTTTTTTTTTTAAAAAAAATCACCTAAATTACCTTGGTATTGATTCCTAAAAAATTAAAAATTATTTGTACATCATTGAAAAACAAAAATAATCTTCACAAATCGATACATTATAAAAATACAAAAAAAAACCACGAGATACAATAACAATAACAAAGAAAAAAGAAATATAATAACACGGACTTTGTCGATCGATGTAATTTGAATTTAACCTAAAAGGAATAAAACAAAATGAATAACCTACCTTCCTATTTTAGGTATACGAAATGTTGATGTAGGTCGATTTAATAAATTAGTTTTATTTAAACCATCACTATCATCTATATCAATTGATGATTTCATTTTTTTTTGTGTATCTATTTGGGGTTGTGTTATAACACGACGATGTGTCGGTTTTCTATTTGTTGTAGGCCCTATATTCTCTTCAGTTTTTCGTTTGTTAGTATCCGTGTTATTACTATTTGTATTTGATGCTGATACAGCTGTCAATGTTGCGGTTGTTGCCATTTTCCTATCATTGAAAGGGAATGTATTATTATTTGATGAGAGCAATGTTCGTTCGGTTTTATTCAATCGTTGAGATGTCAATGGATGTTTATCGATGAAAATTGATGATCGAGAAATCGATGATGGTTCTTAAAGAAATGATTGATCTTATAAGAATGTTTCTATTGATTATAATACATACGAGAAGAAATATGTTGGTCAATATCAAGTTGAGGAGTATGAGTTTGTAGTGTTTTAAATACTCCTTTTGTCAAACAAATATCATATAAATGACGAGCACTTTCACGAATATCTACAAGAAATTAAATAATATTAAGGATTTATTGAATAGACATATAATAACGATTCTAGAGATGAATAAAGAAAAGAGCGCTAATTTGATATCGTCAAAAACAAATTCAATAACTTCTCAATTAAGAAAACAGCATACTTCGTACATATAATGTGCACACATGTAGCATGTTTTCACTCAAAAGTATTGTATAGTAGCTTCATAGTCTGCATGATTGATAGATGTTTTTTTATTTTGAATATACCGGTATCGTTTATACATAATCGAAACTTATCATTCTCATTAAATATAATTCCGTGTTAATATCTGTTTCATGATCGTATAAAATTATTCAAAGAAGCACATCAAATCAAAGAATTAACTTAATACTATTATCGCATCTTGTGTATATGAAAAAGCTTTGATATAATTTTCAACTTGTTATCGCATATTCAATATTTGAAGCCAATATAGTAGAATCAAGAAGAGTCTTTTTTTTTTATGATCAATATTATTATATACGAGAAAAAATAAATTCGATTATTTGTTTGAATTATTATTATTATTAATTTTTTTCTTTTGATATTTATACCAAAAACACTGACCCTTTTCTTTCCCTGACTCAGCCGATGCAAGTTCGGCTATTTTGAGCTGTAGCTCGTCGATATCATTCTGTGAAACATTATCAATATTGAATGGCAAATTGCCTATGATATTTAATGTATCGAGTAGAAATGCATGATTATGTTCAATACTAAAATGTGAAAGCCATTTGATTAAAATTTGAAGACCATCACATTTTAAAAACCTAGAAATATGAATAATTCAATAAGCATTAAAAAAAAAGCAAAAAGGAAAAAAAAGTAAATTGTTTTTTTTTTTTTATTATTATTGTTTTTAAATAAAATATTGTAAAAATACGATTTTACATACGTTATTAATATATCTGCAGATTTTGTATGATTAAGAATTTGTAAATAGATTGCTTTATTCACTAATTTTTCAGTTAATTTCATTAGTCTAAAAATTTATTTTTTTTGTTGTTTTTTTTTATGTAAAATCACAATAAACGAAAAAAAAAATCATCATTATTAAACATACGTTATAAATTGTCGAATAACTCGATCATTTTTTAATCCACCATTATTGTCTAATAAATACACGATTGTATTAAGTAAAACCGTTGGATCGACAGGAGCCTAAGATAGATCAATGAAACAAAAAAAAACTATGGTTTTTTCCTTATGTTTATTATTACCATATATCTGACGTATTGACTAATATATATATTAAATATAACTTAATCTAGAAATATGCAAGCCTCTTTTTTTTTTTCTTTTTAGAACTATATGCATGCAAGTAAGTATCGAAAAAAAAATAACAACTACGAGTTACACTCCTACTTGTCCCGTCGACGATGAATGATGAGAATGAAGAAGAAAAAGAAAAAAAACGGGGTACTTTTATTGTACCCACTCGCTTAAGCGGACGAACGAAGAAGAAGAAAAATCAACTCGTTTCTTTTTTTTTTCTTGTTTTTTTGTTGTATGTTACTGCAGACTATGTGTTCGCCTACGCAAAGTGTAGACAAAGATTGTCTTTTTTTTCTCTTGTATTCTATCATACATGAGAAGAAAAAGAAGAATCTATATTTGACATTATCATATGCTATATGTGTAGATTTTTGGCCATAAATTTCTTGTTGGTGGTACGACAAAACGTCTGCTATAGGACATTTTCACATAGAAACTATTGAAGAAATAAGCAATAATATTTTGTTTTCTTATAAGCATAATTGTTTCGAAGCATTCTACATGACAAAAATTTCTTGCTTGATCAACAGAAGGTCGGTTATGGACAATTCTAAATCAATGATGACATTTCGATATAACAAAGAAGAATAACTATTTAGATAAGAGATTATGTATTTCATTCAAACATAATCTCCAAAACAAAAAAAAATAAAATAAGATTTTTTTTTTTGTTAAGACAAAAAAAAGAATCAAATACACAAAATGAAAAAAAAATCGAATAAAATAAGTTACAAACTGATCATTGATCGGCAAATATCTAATACCTAAAAAAACATAAAACAATTTGTTTGGGTTTCGTAATCATAGAATATATTGAATAAATTGCCAAATAATATTCTCTTTTTGATAAAATAAACCAATAAGATATTCAAGAATCACTTAATGATATGTCTGTTGACATATACAATCATTCGTTGAGATATAAATCAAAATGAGGCAAAAAATGTCCATAATATTCACATTATTTTATTTTTTTTGATTAAATCTTCATTGGTTGTCGTAGATTTGATGTTTGCTTTTTTTTGTGTCGTTCGATGATGCAATTTGAAATGTTGAAAGAAATTTCTTTTTTTATTCTAAATATACTTCGACTCATACATAAAACAAAGGGATTAATCTTAACTTTAAAAATTAATAATCTCGAAACATCGAAGATTACATCAACTCTTTTAATATCTCGACTATAAAAAGTTCGTATAGATATAGAATTCGATATATTTTATTTAAACGAAGAAAATTTTCTTTCATTAAAGAATAGTTAATCAAGATTCTTCTCAATAAATTATCCATATTTTTTTATTCACTTTCCTAAAAAAAAAAAAAAAATAAGAAATAATTCAATTGATAGTCGATTGATCCATTAATATTAATATTTCGTCAACATATTAATATAAGTCAGATTGTACATATCCATTTGATTTTTATCTAGAACGAAAAATACATGAAATTTCAATCCCAGCTAAGTCCACATTCTAGTCGAAAAATTTTTGATTCTGTCGCTTGTTCATTATCTCTCTAACTGATAAACAAATTTTCAAAAAGATAATAAGATGGTACCTTTCATTTTTTTTCTCAAAACCAAATTTTCTCGACTTTCATCTGCTTGGGATCAAACTTTTTTTGATGAGTACTTCACCGTGTGCCAATTTGTTTTTCTCTCTTTCTATCTAACAATTAGCACCAATCGAAACCCAAAAATTTTCAGTTCTAAAGCATTTTCAAGGAAAGAAAACGTCCCTGACGTTACCAAAATCACCCGAAAAGGAAATATTTGAACATCTCGAGACTATAACAATAATCAAAAGTACACTGATATTTATTCAATTTCTATCAACAAACTTAGATATATTACTAAAACATAATTCTCATAGTCTAAATAAAATCAAATAATTTCTAGACAATCCGTGTTTAGTTCTAAGAAATTGAATTTTTTATTATCTAAAAACAAAAAAAAAACAATATTAGTTTATGGATGTTGAAAACAATAATCATTTTTGTATTTCTTCTGATGTACACCATCTTGTTTCGATGTACTTAATATTTATACACCTATATGTATATGAAGGTTGACAATAGTTTGAAAAAAAAAATATTTTTTTCGTATTCTTTTAAGAATAAGAAAAAAAAATGATTTTATTTTCTAATTAATTTCTATATGAATTAGTATTCAATTATCATACTGCATAAATATGTTATATATTTAAATGAATCATATTAATAATTGACCAATCATATGATATGTGATATTTTGATTATTATATTATTATGATTCTTTCTTTTCTTGTCAAAAGAGGACGTTATATATATATTTTTTCTTTCTGATTTATTGTTCTTAAGAGAAGTTAAATTTTTTTTTTTATTTCTTAAATGTTTTTCAACAAACGTACTTCATGTTTGATTTTCTTTTCTATTTGCCTTTATATATTCCCTTATTTTTTTCATTTGTTTGCCTTTCATTCTTGAGTAGTTTAGTTTGTCGATCGATTGATGAGAAAAATGATCGTTTTCTTTCTTTCTTCAACTCGTTCTCTTATTCGTCTTCGCGTCTATACAGCTATTCAATTGCTTTTTCGATCTAGGTTGTGTTAATTAGTATATGTCGTCGATTTGTTATCGTTCTCTTTACTTTTCTTGATTTCATCCTCATCATCATCGTCATCATTATTGACGCTCTACTAATATGTATATTTGTGAAGATATAATACTTTTCTCTATTCGAATACAACAACGACTAATATGAATATGTAAATACTTTTTAATAATTTCTTTCTTTTTCTTCAATATTTATTTATTTATTTTCCAGAGAAATTATTTGCTTACTTATTTTACATATTTTATAATTTTTCTCTTTTTTATTAGCAATTGATCCTACCTTTATATTCTTAATATATATTCTCATTGTCTTCTCATCATCGCCTGCATTATGTTAACTGATTAGTAGTTCTATTTCCGAGCACGAATACATTCTGGCGTATGTCATTCTACAACAATGATGCTGACGATGATGATGATGATGATGAGAAGTGTAGAATGAAAAGAAACACGAGCACTCCTGACTTGTGTCAACAATTCAACAACAATATTTTTGCATACATTCATATATATACATTTAATCTCATTATCTTTCACATCGTCAATTCTTTCTTTCATCTTTTCTTTATTTTATTTTATTTTTTTTTATTTTTTTTCTCTTCGCTATTACACATATTCACACCTGTATTGTATCTTAAATGTCTGCCGATGGGAATGAAGAATTTGCTCTTAGGTCAATAACAAGAGTGTTCATTTTTAATCATAATAGCGATTTGTGTGCTCTGACGTGAATATGAGTATGTATGCGAGCGTGTGCATGTGTAAGTAGAAACGAGCGAACGATGGGATGAAAGTGACACTTGAGAAGTTCGACTAGCTTGTGAGCTGACTGTCTTGATTAAATCAAAATAAAGCGACGAACATATATATATATATATATATGTTCATATATATTTATGTAGACATAGAAAATAATAGAGTAAGAGAGAAAAGAATAGATGCGAACATTTATAAATGATGCCAATTGGTCGTACTCTTAGAGAGAGCAAACAATAACCAACAGAAAGAATAGTAATTGAACAGGCAACTCAATCCGGTTAACATTTCATCTTTTACATATATATATACATATGCATCATCTTCTTTTGCATGCACGCATGGTCCCATTTACTTTTAACAGTAATAGATTGATACATGAGATTGAGAGAGAGAGAAAGAGAAGGCATTCGTGCGCTCTAGTAGAGAAAGATTTGCATCACTACATTGTTTAACTTGTTTTCATCTCTATTGTCAGTCATCATTGAAGCGTTGTATTGCACTCTCGTTCGCTTTCTATTACTATCACTATTATAATCTATCTTAGCTCTTTTCCGTTTTCTGTTATTCTTCTTCACTTCATTTATGCCTTTGATGAACAACAAAATAATCTAGTATAAAAAAAAAAGGAGATGAGGAAGAAAGTGAAAGAAAAAAACTCCATTTTTTGCCTCTAGACAATATTTGCACGTTATCCACACAGTTTATTCTCAAGTGATTATACACCTTAATATAATCAGTTATTTGCGATCAATACACTTATAGAAGTCAACTTAGATATACATATACGATAATTTATTATTCCAATCGCATATTAATTATCGTTAAGAACAGCAGGCAAACATTGTGTTCTTTTTTTTTGTTTTGTTTTTTTGTTTCTTGATCGATCAAAAGCCACCTACTTCTAATCAGATAATACTTGACGTAATTAAATTGTGCTTGTCCTTTGATAAAGACCATATGTCAATCTTTAATTTCTTGTCAGTACTTTTTTATCCTAAATGTTAATCGTTCTTCACTGCCAACATATATACAATTATTTTAGAATAAGCATGCATTCATATCTGACTTGTATTGTCCTTTGGGTATATATTTATGTGCATCACGAACGACAACTTTTGATCTTTTTCTTTTTTTTTCTTATGTTGAATGATGGTATTAGTAATCGTGGCCTTTGTCTATTCCTATCGATCGCGATTAATTAAGTATCTTTTGTCTATCTAGATCGTGTGTGTAAATTGGACACTTGTAGTCGGCTAGAGAGGGAGAGAGAGAGTGTGTGTGTGTGTGTGTGTGTAACATGTATTCGTTTTACACGCTGTAGAGGACGACTATATAGTGTGTTTTTCTTTTTCTATATATATATATATGTGTAACCTTATCATGCGCCGGCAGCAGCAGCCATACTGCCGACAATACTCGGGCACGTCAGGTCACGACAACGACGACGATTATTTTCTTCTCTTCTCTTCTCTTCTTCATCGTTGTCGATTCTCTTTTTCTGATGCGACGCACACTATTGCTTTTCTATCGTCGACTAATAGAAAATGATTAGAACATGTTCGTTGTTCATGCGCCCTATTATGTTGTACTAAGATAA